GAGTTGGGCGGCGCCGAGCAGCTTATTGCTGCCACTGCTGCTCTTCAAGTGCTCCCTGGTTCCACTCACCCACCACCAGGTGGTTGTCAGCAGTGGTGTGACGTCTGGGGACCGGGTGCAGAGGCAAGGCTACAGCCTGTGTGTTCTGAGGTGGGACTTAGGCGACACGGCCAATGGAAGCTGGGGAAGCTTCTGACGGACAGTTCAACCTTCCAAACACTGTCAGTGCACCTTTTCTCTCCGCTGCGTGACGCAGCCTTTGTGTTCTGAGGTGGGACTTAGGCGACACGGCCAATGGAAGCTGGGGAAGCTTCTGACGGACAGTTCAACCTTCCAAACACTGTCAGTGCACCTTTTCTCTCCGCTGCGTGACGCTGCGTCTTACTCAATTATATATAAGGGAGAGATTTTCCCCCTCAATTACCCAAATTTTTCCTTCTACCCCCACCAGCCTTAGTTTACAGAAGAAATTATGGGACCTGGCTTTGTTAATGGAGGGGGGGATACGATAGCAGCAGCAACAATGCCTCCAGTGCATGGGCCTCCACTTCGTAACAGGAGGGATGTTCCGTGGGCAAAAAAGAAAAATTCAGACAACTCCCAGACCCTCCAATCACTTATAACCATACACAAATGGAACTTAAAAAAGAAGTAGGGTTTAATTCAATGAAGAGCGATGGGGAATCAAAGGATGACCCACAGGATTATACATATATAATCTAGAAATATTAATACTGGGCAGGCTATGACAAAAATAACACATATAGCCCTACGGGGGAGGGTGGGATATAAATTTGAAAAATAAATAAATAAATAAAGGTGCACTTCATAATCAATAGGTTCAGTAACCAAGAAAATAGGAAAATAAGTACCACACTCAATACTGTTATGTTAAGAACTTAACAGCAAAAACTTGAAAGACAAAAACACATGCAGTAATGACAGCTTCTCAGAACGCGGCATACTGGTCTGCTCTGGTGGTGTATTGACTAAAAATTCCAATAGTTTCCACCAGATTTCACTGCTATGCAGAGGAGGAAATGGAGTGCCATTTGCGTGAATTGTAAATAAGTGAATAATGCAGTAGAAGGAGCACACTTCCAGTGCTCCCAGGGGACAGTACCACCCACTTTGGGAACCACTGCTCTAACAGGCTATCTGCATGCCATGGAACTTCCTCCATAGTCTTCTTGATGTATAGTTTTTCTCTAAAGAGATTCCGAGGCAGGTAATTTGGTACTCTCTGTAGATATGCAAACCAGCTCAGACAGAATCCAAGATGTAAAATGCCAGTCTGAAAGACACTTAGGACAGTCCTAAGTGAAGTTGCACCGTTCTAAATACATTGACTTCAGTTGATCTGGAAGGATGTAACCCTGTTGAGTAAGATCTGAAAGTCTAGATTTAGCTTAGCTTTGAAAAACAGTTGTAGTTGCCCTGTGTAATATGTAATTACTTATTAAAACCAAACCTGAGTGAAAGTGAGTTTAGGTTGTGATTACTTTGCTTATATTGCAAAGGCCTAGCTGAAAACTTGTGCTGTTTGCTTATAATCTCCTTTCCAAAGGGTAAATGTAAGTTTTTGATCCCCCTCAAATTGTAGGAGTGGTAAGACTGCTCCTGTGCTGGAGTATATAAAAAACATAATTTCAGCGGATGCAGTTCAGAACCACATTAATACATTGTTGAGCTATTATGGCTGGGGTTCCCAACCTTCTTGTAAAGATTTCTTCCATGTGAATTTCAAGGCCCTCTTGAGCCTCACATACCACTACTTTACCATGTTCCCCTCCCTACCATTGGGCTACCATAATATAGAGTGAATTTGCCCTGCTCCAGCTGCCTAGGTTCCAGGCTGTCCATCCTGTGTTGTCAATTCCTGCCCATTTGAGCACTTTCAATCTGGTTTTGGGCCAAAAGTAGTATTTCTCAGACTGAATCCCACTGATGCTTCTCCCCTACACAAACAAGGCTAGGGCCCTTAACCTAGGTGGAGTCTAATGAATTTAGCATCCTAAACCATTCTTAAGAAAGCAGCAAAATCTACATTTTCTTCTGAAAATAGAGTGGAGTTTCAATTCTCACCAACTTATTTTTCCTGCTATTACAAGGGAATTAGAAAGCACGAGTCATCCTGATTTTTCCTATCTAATTCTCTTCAGGAGCAGATGGGCAGACATTCCGAAGTTCCTGTTTGCCAAAACAGCTGGAAGCAGAGTGGCACTTCGGGGGAGTGAAATATCAGTATGGGGGCAACAGACAAGGTAAAGTGGAAGTATATTAACAAGAAACTGATGGTACTTTATTTGTCTTAGAATTGCATCTTTCTTGCGGGTGGGGTCATGGCTCAGTGGTGAAGCATCTGTTTTGCATGTAGAAGGTCCCGAGTTCAAGATATGGCATTTCCAGTTAAAAGGATTTATCTATCTATTTAGCAAATGCGTATTCTGCCTTTCCAGAAACTTGTTTCAGGCAGCTTACAAGTGAAAACAAGGAATGTATAAAATATTAAAATCAAGCAATTGGCATAAAAACAACATTTAAAAAACAATAAGCAAAAGTATCCATAAACAGACCACAGGCAAGAAGCATAAGTTAAAAGAGAATAATCGTTATTAAAAGCCTGGAGGAAAGAAATGTTTCGTCTTGGCACCTAAAAGACAGAGTAGTAGGTATCAGGTGAGCCTCAAGGGGAAGGGCATTCCACAAGTGAAGTGCCCCTACTAAAAGCCCCATCTCTGGTTTCTATTTGTTTCACCTCTGAAGGTGGGGGGCACAGAGAGCAGGGCTTGAGAGACAGATCGTAACTGGAAGGCTGGACAGTATGGGAGGAGGTGGTTCTTCAAATAGAAGAGATCAGATTTATACCTCGCCCTTCACTTGGAGTCTCAGAGCGGCTTACAATCTCGTTTCCCTTCCCCTTCCCACAATAGATGCCCTGTGAGGTAGGTGGGGCTGAGAGAGCTTTGAGAGAACAGCTCTGACAGAATTATGGATTACCCAAGGTCCTCCAGCAGCTGCAGGTGGAGGAGTGGGGAATCAAACCCGGTTCTCCCAGATTACATTCTGTGCACTTAACGACTACACCAAATACCTGGACCCAAAACAATTTAGGACTTTACCTTCTCCTGGTACTGGTTCAGGACTTCCATAGACCCACCTAAAATAGCTGTTAAGGAGAAATAGAACTGGGTGTCATCCATATATTAGTGGCGGCAACTCAGTCCAAACCCATGCATGGTCTCTCCCAGCAGTTTCATGTAGATGTTAAGACAGCATAGGGAGGAAGATGGAACCCAGGGTCAGGCAGCCAGTGAGGTGAAATACCTCTGCCTGAGTTCCAGGAGAGCTGCTGCCAGTCAGAGCAGACAACAATGACCTTGATAGGCCAGTCGTCTGACTCATTATATGGCAGCTTCATGTGTTCGTGGCTCTGGAGCCTCTCATAAAGGCTGTGAGATGACACAGTATAAATCAAGGTGACACCTTAAAGACTAACAAAAATTTATTCTAGCATAAACTTTCTTGAATCAGAACTCACTTTCATGAGTCAGGTCTCATGAAGTGAGCTCTGACTCATAAAAGCTTATGCTGGAACAAATTGTTGCAGCCCCTCTGGGCTCCTGTTTTATTTAGTTACCATATAGGTAGGTGCCTATAAGATTTTCTCTATAGGGAGAGCAAATAACATATTGGGGGATCTATTTTGGGAACACTGCATGGGTGGGGGAGGATTCTTTCCCCATCTCAGTGGGTGCCTCTATGGCTGTTCTTAGCCTTTTTAAAAAGTGGGAAATCCTAATAGCAGTTCTCCCAGTTGATGTCTAATTTGACTCTCAGAAGGATGTTTTCAGAATAGGGATGGAGAGCAAGAGATTTCTAAGCATGGCAGCTGTAGTGAGGTCACAGTGGCAAGGTCCAGGAAGACTGCCATTTCCTTTCTGCTGCAGCCAGGAGTCAGTTTTGCTCTCTCCAAAGGACAAGAGTTCACGACTGGAAGGCTGAAATGTTGGGGGAGGGTTATCTTGAGGACAGCCATCCAAATCTCCACTGTTGCATTTTCTTGCTGTTTCCCTCTTCATTTTCATAGCTTCTGCTGTGTCTGTTCATGGCTCATGCCCTGCTTAAATTTGTGTGTTTATCCAGCAGGGGAAACAGGATTTGAATCGTGTTATTCTGAAGTCCTGAAGGTTGTACAAGGGAAACTGCACCAACCAGATGAGATTCGCAGAAACTCCTTCTATGCCTTTTCCTATTTCTATGATCGGGCTGTGGACACTGACCTTATAGGTGAACAGCAACTGTTTGAAATCTTGTCTGAGCTGAATGACATTTGTAGAAAATTATCTCCCTTTTAGTTCCAGAAGGGACTTAAAGGTCATGCTGTGTGTAAGGGTCTGCTGTTGGATTCTTCCTTAAATCTACCTCATCCAGCAACTTTAAGCAGGCCTTTGTAATGTGATATTATTAAAAAACAGGACCTGGAATGAGAGACAAATTTACAAAATACAATACCTGCCTGAAATGAAGCCCAACTAAGCAAGGGGACTCTAAGGGTTCCAATTTCTGTACCTTGAATCAGTTATACAAACTCAGAATGTAATCCACAACCATTAAAATCAGTCTTTCATCCATTTTGGTAGGCTCTGGCTTATAAAGCATCTTTATAAAAATACATCCCTGTCTTTCGTTAAGTGTCTTCAATCTAGGATGCTTATGAAATTCTGTCCACTTACTGACACAGCACATTGAAATGGACCTAACTGTGACTTATTTTTTGCTCCCCTAATTTCATTAATGATAAAATGATTATTTAATATATATTTGGTTATTTATTTCTCTCTCAATGTGACGTGGCAACACAGAGGAGCTTATAGGCTGTGTAGCCAGGGCAGCAGCAGTAGAGCTTGAGAGGCAGCATTTGTGCTTTCCATGTTGTAGACTCCATGTATGACTCCACCATTTATTCAGTCAGATTCATATGGCAAACCATATGAAACAGCAAAGTAAAATATGTATTCAAATCAAATATATTTTGTTGAAACACTGAACAGAAGATTCTAACAAATGGAAGGCTAGGGGAGTAGAACACTTGGATGCAGATAATGAGAGAAACAATAATGAAACTGAGTGAGGAGAATTTGCTTATCTCTAGCTTGGAGAAGCTATATACCCCAAATACAAGGACAGGAGACTGTGGTTTCCAATTCCAGCCACTGCCTTTTGCTGTGGATCTTCTACTAGCAGATGTATTAGCTTGGCAAATTATTTGATGCTAGAACCAATTTCTGCTTTATTTCTTTTACTTTAATTCAGTTCTTTGAGTTTTGGTGATAAAACCTAAGTTATCAAAGTAAATTTCTTTGTTCTGAACCGGGGATTCTACATAATCTTCTCCAATCCCACACCGCTTTAATCCTTTTAATCAAGCTAACAAAAAAATGCTGGTGATTCCTTATCTAGAAGTCTCATATATACCTCATATTGTAAACTCCTCTGCTTACCCAAAGTTATGCTTTGTTAGTCTTTTACAATATATTTCCTTAGCCATACTATGATAGTTATTTTTTGATATTTCAGATTATGAAAAAGGGGGCATTCTAGAAGTGCAAGACTTTCAAAGAAAAGCCAAAGAAGGTAAAGGGGGAAAAAAAATGGAAATTAGAGCTAGGGATCCAAATGGTTCTGTTGTTGTTGTTCAGTCGCACAGTCGAGTCCAGCTCTTCGCGACCCCATGGACCACATCACGCCAGGCCCTCCTGTCTTCCATCGTGCTCCGGAGTTTGCTCAATGTCATGTTCGTTGCATCAATAACACTGTCTAACCATCTCATCCTTTGCCGTCCCCGTCTTCTTTGACCTTCAATCTTTCCCAGCATCAGGGTCTTCTCCAGTGAGTGCTTCCTTCTCATTTGGTGGCCAAAGTATTTGAGCTTCAGTATCAGGGAACAGTTAGGGTTGATTTCTTTTAGGATTGACTGATTTGATCTCCTTGCAGTCCAAAGGACTCTCAAGAGTCTTTTCCAGCACCATAATTCAAAAGAATCTATTATTCGGCACTCGGCTATAACGAACAGCTATACCGCTTTTGAAACCATGCCCTGCACGGTTTCATAAAGTTCATACAGGTTCATACATATGTTTTCCAATAAGGGATATTTCTCACTTATTAACTTGTTCTCTATAGTAGGACTAACTTTTAAGCTTTAATGTTTATTTATGCTTCAGGGATGAGGAATGGTCTGAAAGTATAGAGCTACTTGAATAATTAGACTGTAGTACAAAGTTTTTAATGATGAATTGTCTGCAGATTACTGGCATCATAAACACAAGGATATCTCCACCAGCTGCATGGATGATGCATTTTAATCATTCCAAAAAGCAGAGGGTGGAACAAGCCCTTAAGGTTTCTTTGTTAGGGGTAGCATAGATGTAATAGTAGCTGATCTTCCATCGTGGCTGTGAGGTCATGGTCCCCTCCCTTGCCACCATTTCCCAGCCATTTTTAACCATTGTTCATCATAACCTCAACACGGAGGTTAGTCAAGATTAGCTCTCTTTAGTGTGTGCTATTCCACCAGCATTTGAAATCCATCCATACACAGGAGGTGATAGGGGGAAAGGAGCCCATGATCCTATTGCTCATTCCTGATCCCTCCATAGCCAACAAGCACTATGATTGCAGCAGTCCCCATTGTGCATGGGAGAAGGCTAGATGTATATGATGTTCACATCTATTGTAATACTAATAGAAGTTCTCTTCTTAACTTTGCCATAGTGTGTGATAACCTGGAGAGGTACAGCTCTGCCAGCCCCTTTCTGTGTATGGATCTCTGTTATATAACAGCCTTGTTAAAAGAAGGTTTTGGATTTGGAGACAGCACAATTTTACAGGTGAGCAAAATTGGATGGAGGAAGCTTTGGTTAGAGTGGGGGTGGGGCAGGCTATATTTAGTGGCTAGTTCCTGGAACTATTGCTGCTGCAGACCACATGCTAGCAACAGTTCCTGATGCTCTTTTAAAAGTGTCTTACATAACTCAAATTTATATATCTGTATCCCAGGGTTTTCAGTGCAGTTTTTTTTGTTATTACTAATAAATTCTCGATAGTAGGCAATGTTTATCTTCACTAAGCAGTGGTTCTTGTAATTAACATTCTTTAAGTATGATTGAGCTTAAGTGCTGCAAAATGTAGACATATGTGTCGTGGAGAGGCTTTTTTGTTTGAGTTCTGCATCTTAACATGTACTTACTCGCAACTGGGTCAGCTTTCTCCTAAAGAAGAGATAAAAAACAGATTTTTATAAAGGGATTATAACTGAAGTATAGTGGGACAGGTCAGGAGGTTGCTTTTATAAGGAGATAGGATTGGTTGTCTAGTGCAATGTTTATGCACAGCCTTCCTTTCACAACATTGTCTTCTTCCAATGTAACCCCCTTTCTCCATTGTGGTATGTTATGCCTTAAGACAGTTTCCTGTTGGCCTACTGCATTGTTTATTGGTCTTTGCTGTTACTGTGAGTTGATTGTTGTATTTTGTAATCCACCTTCAATGTCAGCCAAGAAAGGCAGAGTATCAGTGAGGTTAATACAAAATAAAATAGTACACTTGCAGCTTAGGAATGAGTTGTACAGATGTTTCTGTTGCAGCTGCAGGGCCGGCCTGAGGTGTTACTGAGCCCTAGGCAAGGCCAGCTTGGGGCGCCCGCACCCCCAGGCGATGCCAACCTCCCAGTGGGGCCTGGAGACCGGGGGGGAGGGGAGGGCGCTGCCATCACCCCTGCAGACGAGCGTCGCCCAGAGCGGGGGGTATTGAAGAGTTTTAAGAGCGCAGCTCCCTGGTCCTCCTCCTCCATCACCACCAGCGCCCTGCAGGAGAGCCACCGCCACCGGTGGTGGTCCCAGGCCCGGCGGCAGTGGTGGGGAGACACAGTTCAGTGCCAGCTGCAGCCTGCAGAAAGGACGTGGTGGGGCAAGGAGGAGGCGCCGCCCACCGACAGTGCGAGTCCACGCCGATGTCGGCCGGAGCCGGGGGGCGCTGAGCAGCAAGACAGCGCCCTGAAAGAAAGCGCAACTCCCCGGCCCTCCTCCGCCACCATGGCTGCTCCATCCCGGGCATGGGGTGGTGGGGCGAGGAGGAAGCACCGCCCGCCGATGGTGCGAGCTCGCGCCGACCTCGACCGGAGCAGGGAGGGGGGCTGAGCGACGAGACAGCGCCATGCTGGAGAGCAGTTTGGCACCCTAAGGGCCGGCTCACGATCTAGGTGAATCCCTAGTTCGCCTAGCGGGTGAGCCGGCCCTGTGCAGCTGTTGGGATTAGTATTGACAATCTTGCTTGAATTAAGAAAAACTGATCTCATTCCTTTCCCTTTTTACAGCTGGCAAAGAAGGTGAACAACATAGAGACAGGCTGGGCTCTAGGTGCTACCTTTCATCTTCTGCAGTCCTTGGCACTCTCCCACTGAGAAGACATTGTCTGCAGGATCATTTTTTGGAAACAGGAACATGCATTTCTGAGCAGTACACAGACCAAAGAAGGGAAATCATTACCTTTAGAACTGGGTACTTCTGAGCTGCGGTATAAGATGGGTTCTTCTAGGATAATAAGTGCTCTGGACATCAAATAATTGTATAATTTATGCCAAAGGATCTGAGCTCTGGCTCAGTAGCCTTGAAACTGATCTTGTTCAAGGAACTCAGACATGTCTTTGGCCAAAGCATTTATGCGCATTTGGTACCAACAGACCTCAAGGCATGTTCCACAGAGTTTGGGGGTCTTTTTGCACATGAAACAATGAAGGTTCACATGTAAAGTAGAGAAGCCTAGCCTAATAACAAAAACTGGAATGAGCTATTTAACCAAACTTTCTCTTAGGCTGTTTGAAACTTGGTAATTAATCTTCTAGGATTAGCTAATTCCTAAGACTGGGGAAGGAAGTTCTTGGCTCAGCTGAAGAAGAGAGAGTTGGTGGAAGAAATGATTTGTTAACCTCTGAAGAAGCTGCAGGGAATGGAAGTGTTTAGGAATCCCCACAAGGAATGGTTTCACTTTTCTCCTCTTTCTGTCTCCCATAAAGCTATGAGATGGTAAATACTGTGCCATAGGCACTTTTTCCATCTGCTTCAGAATGAAATTTTCTAGAGATTAACAGTCACAAATCTTGCAGTGTATTCTAAAAGTCCCTGTTTACTGCAGAATATTTAGATGTCTGGCTGTAAGTGCATCAATCTGAAACGTCAGACTCCTCAGTTTCTAGTATCAAAAGTTTCTTCATGCCTGAATCAGACTGAAGATTTCTGACTGTTGCAATGTTGTTGTGCACCTCTTCAATATTTCATGAGGATAACATAAATGTTCAGTAACTAAATATTCTATCTTGGTATTCTGGAGGCGCCGCCCACCGACAGTTTGAATCCCTAGAGCTAAGGACAAATTGGTGTTTCTACATAATACCTAGATAAAATGTTTAATTATGTATTTATAAAGAATAGCAGATAAACTATTGTGGTTTGTTTTTTGCTGAAAGCTAAGGACAAATTGGTGTTTCTACATAATATATAGATAAAATGTTTAATTATGTATTTATAAAGAATATTAGAAGAAACCACTTTCCACCCATATCCATTCCCAATTCATAAGGTATTGACAGTGCTCACAGTGGCTCTCAACTCATTATTGTACCCCTGATGCTACAAGGTAGTGCTCAACTGATCCACCCCTCACATTCTAGACTTCGCTGCTGGTAGTGAAAGAGGATGGTGAATAAGAAGTAAAAACAGTTTGGCCGTGGACTACAGCAACGTGATTTGCTGGAGCCTAGGGTAAACTCTTTGTCCTAATTTGAAAGCTTGAGCATATCTCAGTTTTGGAGCATTGCTCTTTCTGTACCAAAGGCAATCTGTGTTCAGAAAATTCAGGGCCTTAATCACCTTAGCTACTGTGTATGTCATAGCAGATGCATAACTACTCCTGTAACCAAGACTTCACTTTGGTACACCATTCTCTATGGACTTGGTCTACATAAGGGGTGCAGGATTAATAATAGTTTCTTCTGATGATGACTTCAGTGGTGACACAGAATTTATCCTACTTTCAGAAGTGTCCATGCCTATCCAGTGAAACAAAACTGTTTATACATTTAATGATCTGCATAGGATGGCCTTTGTTAAAGGATTTACGTACATAAGTGGTAGAAGAGGAGTTAATGAAATAAACACTAAATTCAAGCTTTTTTAAAAAAAGAAGAAACAGGTTTTAGATGTTTACATAGTTTTTAGTGTATTTAATCTTGATGCCTCACACATTTTAGTTTAGCTTAAATTATCACAAATTTAAGATGAGCCGTGAATAGACGGAGCCTCTCCAATGCCTACATTTGTAGCTCTGAATGAGTGCAGGCAACATGCTATCAAATATCTTTTCATTCACACTTTGTTCTCAGATTGGTTGGCTGTAAAAGGATAGCATTATTATCCTTGTTTGTTAGCTGTATTCGTATTACTTGGTGCTGCAAAGCAGTTAAATGGATACCATTGGGATATATGTTTGGTACTTGAGCATGACAGGGCCCTCTGACTGTCTATTTTAGTAATTAAATGATATTTTTAACATAATGTTCTTGGACTCCAGCCTGTAACTGATCTTCACCCTTGGTACCCTAACCGAAACGATGAATGAGAATACTGTTGTAACCTTTAGGAGAGAACAGGCAAGCCAGAAAGCCCTATCCTATTTTTGCAGCAACCAGACATCACATATGTAAAAGGCCAAGGCTAAAAAAGATGTTGAACTAGGAAGAATCAGATCAAGACAGGTAGCTGTGTCAATAGAGAAAAGCAAGAGTCCAGTAGCACCTTAAAGACTAACAAAATATGTGGCAGGGTATGAGCTTTCATGAGTCACTGTTTACTTGGTGAACAGGAACTCAGGAAAGCTCATACCCTGGGACTTTTTTTTAGTCTTTAAGGTGCTACTAGACTCTTGCTCTTTTCTACTGGCCTGTGTTAGAATGGCCTGTGTTAGAATGTGAGCTGGAAGTAATCCTTCATCTGCTCTTGTGCATGCCTCCACAGCATGAGAAAATAAACTGGGCTTTAGCTGTGGCCACAAGTAAATTCTTTCCAAAAATGTACTTCTGCCAAGCCGACTTTCCAGGTTTCAGAAGTCCAGCACTGGTTAGGATCAGAAAATTACTGGCATTATAGGAGAGAACCAACTGCTGCTCTCCCTCGGTGAAAAAGACTTTGGCTATAACAAGCAAACGTAAGAATCTCATGTTCCTCTTTTTTCCATCATCTATTCAAATATCTTAAATCAAATGCAATGCAGCCTTTACACATGAAGTCTTGAGTCTCCAGCAATTGGCCAGGAACAGTAAATTCAGCTTCATAAGGAGGTCACTTACTGGCAAATGCCATGATCTGCTCCTAAAAATGGAGAAAGAACAGACATATTACTTACATTCCTGGCTAGTGTTACATCTATACTATACCCTCACTGACTGACAACCTATAACAGTAAAAGCCAGAGGAGGGAGAAACAGGGCTAGGCATTGGGGGGGGGGGGGGCATGTAAGCCTCTGTTGTACTGTTCCCATGATAGAAATGCCTTCCCCGCTGCTGTTAACCACTGATATTTCAAGGGTGAAGATTTCTATTGAGGAAATGTCACAGGAGAGTGCTAATTCCACCCATAGCGCCACACAGCCTCAACCCAAGTGTCCCTCTCCACACAAATGCTTAATAATATTAAACAGTAGGAGATACAGTGCCACATAATGTGTGTTGCCTGAATGTAAGATCCTCTTCTGATAAATTCGTTAGCACTTTGTGCTGAGTAACCCAACATTAGGAATCACATGTACAAGAAAACTCCCCCCATCCGAAGATGGTAGAAAAAAGTTGCAAAAACATGGAAATATTTCTGAATTCTTTCTTGTTTCCTACACCTGGAGGTCATGTTAACCAATTCTTTAAGTAACACTGCCTACCCAAAAAGCTTACAACACTTTAAAACAGCAACGATCAACTTCTTCATCCTGAGAGGCAGAAGAAGAGATTGGATTTATACCCCGCCCTTCACTTGGAGTCCCAGAGTGGCTTACAGACTCCTTTCCCTTCCCCACAACAGACACCCTGTGAGGTGGATGGGGCTGAGAGAACTCTGACACAAACTGCTCTTTTTCAAGGACAGCTGTGCCAGAGCTTGTGACTGACCCAAGGTCACATCAGCAGGTGCAAGTGGAGGAGTGGGGAATCAAACCCGGTTCTCCCAGATCAGAATCCACACACTTAACCACTACACCAAACTGGCAGGGACAGGCCTCTCCTTTAGGGCCAAACTAGATGTGATGGCACCCCTGGATCCGACCTATGAATGCTGCTATCCTTTTAAAGCATAATGAGGCACTTTAAAAAATGCTCTGAAGGCCTGATCAGGATCATGACATTTTAAAGTTGCCCCAGTAGGCTTTTAAAAGGTGGCAGCACCCATGAATTGGACCTAGGGACACCATCACGTCTAGTTTGGACAAGGTTCTCAAAGGCTAAAGTGTGCACACATACATTTGTCAGCTTGGCTGGAGAAATTTTAGTCTTCCAAACTGAAAACACTGGCAGGCTGCCTGACATTTACAGACTCCCTTCCCAACAAGAAATGAGAGATCATTCCAGAAGGCTTTGGGGACAATCTTCTGACGAGCACAAGATAACTGCCCCTCACTTGGCCAGCAGGCATCTCTCCTCCTGAGAAACTGGGGGGGGGGGACCGCCACCAATAAACTTTTTTAGTAGAGAGGAGGGTCACTGACCAGAGCAAGGTATATGGTGCTCGAGGACAGAATAACATTGTTTTCCAAGGGGAGTCAACTGGACTAGGCCTATATGAGGTGCCGTTTCTCAGCTGGTAGAAGTCCATCCCAGAAGCAAATGAGGTCACCTGATTTTACACATGGTAAGAATCTCTTCCAGGTAAGAAGTAATGCATTGCATGCCCATCACAGCAGGCAAAAAAGTAGAGGAAGACAGGCTAAATGAACATGACAGCTACATGCAGCCATGACTACACATGCACAGTTAGCCATTCCCTGTTCTAGACCAAGTCTGACAGTGGGCTAAATGCTGCATGTGCAGTCCACAATATCTCCACCGCCACTGTTTCTTGGTGGGATGTAGCAGAATCAGTTGCTTTAATGGAGGAATAATTTCATCCACTTAAGTCAAAATGCCAGCAAAATGTTATATAAATGTTTTGGTCTCACTGCATCCAAACTGTGAAAAGTAAGATATAAACAGAAAGCAAATGGAAGATTTGTATTCACTTAATGTGAAGCTTCCTTCTCAGTGGTCCAGGAGTGGGGCAGCCCTTGACTCCTTACTCATGGGACGTAAAAAAGCAGTGCTCCCACCGGGTGGGTCACACGACTTCCAATGCCTACAGGGCCTGAAGTAGCACTCTCCTGTCAAATGCTGCTTCTGCCAAGGCTAGTTCGTCAATCCTATAGTGCTTTGTAAAGGAATGGACAAATTTCCATGTCACCATCTTTCAGGTGACTTCTAGGGACGGCAAGCCCCTACATGCCACCAACGTGACTTCCCCCCATAGAGTGCCCTGTGACCCTTGCTGGAGGTACCAACCCCTGCACCTTGTATGCCTGACTGATCCTTATCCACCTGCTCAGGACAGAAGTGGAGACACTCTTTCCCAGGGACAACTGAGTAACATACCCAAACAAGGATTCAGTCTTTGTCAGCCCCCTGGTCCTGTCCATATAGAAAACTCAAAGCCCTACACACATCTAGATGCTGCCAGACCATCACCATCTCATGGGCAGGATTTGAAGTAAAGGAGGGAAGTACCATATCTTCCAATCTATGGAACCGGGAGTTAACTTTGGGGATGAATGCTGGGGCTGGTCTGAGGACAACCCTGTCATTGTAGAAGGTACATAAATCTGTGTGTACCGACAAAGCTCTCAGCTCCAAAAACCTATGCGCTGAAGTGATCCCCACTAAGAAATTGTTTTCAGAGTAATGTCTTTCATGGGACGTGATGCCATTGGTTCAAATGGCTCCTTGCATAGTGTCACGATTGCGCTGGCGGGCCAGGTAGGGCACGGAAAGTCCAAAACACAGTCCGAGTAACATGAGCAGAGTCCAAAATACCAAGTCAAAAACGCAGTCTAGGGTTACCGGGGATTGCATGCAGAGTTCAGAAGCCGAAAGCTGTTCGTCAAAAGTCAAGATACACAGTTCGTAGTCTTGGACCCTGTTGGAGAAAAGCCATCCCAACCTGCGGCCACATCGGGTCCAACGCCTGCTCTCCGCACCAGTTAGAAGATGTTTGTCAAGATCTGTCATATATCTTGGTCATAGAACATTTTCTGGACACCAAGAGTGTGGAAACCACCTCTTGTCTCATATCTCAGAGCTTTTGTCTCCTCTTAACCTCCACACTGCGACTTGTAGCATATCCGGTCGCAGATGAACGGTCATCTCCTGAGATAGGTCCCGTCTGAGAGGCAGCTGCCATAGATCTTGTCCGGAGAGGCTCAAGAGGTCCTGGAACCACCCCCTCCGTGGCCAGAAGGGTGCTATCAGAATCACATCTGCTCTTCAATCTATTGCCTGCTGTACCACTCTGGGAATTAGAGTTAGGAGTGGCAAGGCATAGAGTTCTTTGGCCATGCTAGGAACAGGGCGTCCATTCCTAGTGCCCCTTTCATGTGAACCTTGGACGCAAACTTTTTTTTTTTACTTGTCAGTCTGTCTCGACGTGAAAGGATCCACCTCTGCCTTCCGAATCTTTCGCTGATCTGTTGGAAGGCGTCCCTCTGTTAACACGTTTCTCTTCCTGCCATATGTGTGGCCTTTAAGGACAGCACATGCTCCTCTGCCCATTGCATCGCCATTGGGCTTGCATGTCTCCCTACCTGTTAATATAGACTTTCGCCATCAAGTTATCCGTTTGAATCAGAACATGACTGCCTACCAGTTGTGTCTGGAGGCGAACCAGGGTCAACTTTATGGCCCTAAGTTCCAGGAAGTTGATGCTCTTGGATGTTTCCGACTTCAACCAGGTGTCTTGACCATGTGTCCCATGGAATGCGCTCCCCAGCCAAAGAGACTTGCATCCGTCGTGAGCACGGTCCTCTGGGGTTCCCTTAGAAGTATCCCTTCTGTGAACCGAGTCAGAACTAGCCACTACTGTAACTCTGTCCACACCAACTGTGGTAACTCTACCTACTTGACTATCTTGTAGTCTATTTCCTTCTGGTAGTGAAGAAAAGAAAGCGCTGCAGGGGTCTCGTATGAACTCTAGGTCACAGTAGTAGGTCTTGGCACAACACCATCATGCCCAGGAGACATGCTAGGGTCATAACCTCCGGTGTCTAAATGTTCAGGACCTGATGTAAGATAAGTGAGAAATTTTACTAAGCTCTCCTGGAACAGAAGAACCCTGTCCTGTCTTGTGTCTATCCGCAATCCCAAGTGTGCAATTACTTGAGTCGGCTCCAGGGTCCTTTTCTCCCTGTTAATAGCACAACTGTGTCCCTGTAGTACTTGGATTGTAAAGTCCAAGTGTAGGCTCACCTGGTGACTGGACTCTGCCTGGATCAGGATGTCTTCCAAGTGAGGAAAACAGGACCACTCCTCTCAGACTTAGAAAGGCCACTAGTGTTCCCAGGACCTTGGAGAAGATCCGAGGCGAGGACTTGAGTCCAGAGGGCGAGGCTCAATATTGGAAATGTTTGCTGTGATTATTCCTTCTCAGGATGTGCCTGTGATTATTCCTTGTCAGG